CTTCTCACGGCTGGGGTGACGCGTTGGGCCTTGCCCAGCCCCTGGCTTCCGCCGCTGCCCTCTCCCTGCCCGTCCTCCCGCAGGCACGGGAAGCGTTAACGCGGTTTGAAGCTCTGGCTCTCTCCGGATCGCCGCTCTTGCAGCAGATGCTAAAAGCTGTGCTGCGGGGAGCTTGTTGCCGAGGGCCAGGGTAAGAGGCGGCCAAGGGAAGCGCTGGCTTCGCCCCACGGCTTGGCTGAGAGTTCTTCCCTGTTTGCCTGAAGGTTAATGGAGCAGACGGATGGCGATGGCCAGGAAAGCAATTGCCCTTCCGGCGTCTTCCCTGTGGACTCGGACGCCTGCATCTTCCCAGACTCCAGCCTGTGCATGTTCACTCTGCTCAACAACTTCGTCATCACCTTGTCCCAGGCTCACGGCAAATGGTGGATGAAACTGCACGAGCTTCCGCGCCCCGAGCAGGAGAGTCCCCCGTACCGGCAGGTCAGCGAGGTGGGCTTCTGCCCCGGCCCCCAGCCCGGGGACGAGGGGGACGGCCCGCCCTCCCGTTTCCTGCCCGTCCTGTGCTGCGCGTCCTCCCCAGGCACCGTGGGGTCCGGGGAGGGGCTGTGGTGCTCGGGGGGCTTCGTGCTGGAAGAGCCCCTCTTCAGCCTGCTCTTCGGGATCGACGCTGCCATGCTGGAGTCTCCTATGATCCTCTGCGGCTTCCCGGACGGACAGCTCTGCTCCGTGCCAGCTCTTCGCCGGCCGTCGATGGCTGCCATGACGTTTCGAACCAAGACCCGCCCGTGAAGATCCTCCATCATTTGGAAGAGCCCATCGTCTTCATCGGGGCCTTGAGAACGGAGCGGAGGGTGGCGGAGGATGCCGAGGACGAGCAGCTCTTCGGAGACGCTGGCTGTGACTGCGTGGTGGCCGTGGGCCACTACGGGAAGATGGTGGCCGTCAAGGCGGATCAGAGGGAGGAGGCGACGGTGCCGGAGCTCAGGGAGTACTACTTGCGCGGGCCTATTCTCTGCGCCGCCTGCGGCAGCGGCAGCCGGATGTATTACAGCACGCACTCGGACATCTCCGCCGTCGACCTGGACTGGGTCGGCGATTCCTCCGACCCCGAGGACGTGGAGAGCTGCGCCGGCGTCCTGCCTCCCGTCCTGTCTCCGGCCAGTTTAAGTATCTGTAGCGTTGTGGCTCTTTCCTTGTCTTCTCGGGCGTCAGAAGGTACTGCCGGCAGCGGGGCGTGCGCTGGGTCTTGGGGTGGAGCGGGGCAGGATAGCTGCCTATTCCGGCCCGTACGTCTCCACCCCTCCTTACGGTCCTGATTGGGCTCCGTCCTC